GCACTTGTGCGGCCGCTCAGGAAAAATTCAAATGCCCCCCCAGCTGCTTAGCAGAGTGCCCACAGCTAGGTTTTGTGTTGCTGCTGGGTGGTGCACATTCACACGTGCTTTGGTGCACATCATTTTATTCCACACAGTGGATGGAAAAGATTAGAGGGAAGATTGCTCCTAAGCCACAACTTCTCTTAGGCCATGTCTTCACTTGGCAGAAGATTGATGCTGCTGCGATTGATCTTCTGGAGTTAGATTTATTGGGTCTAGTGACTCCTCTGCAGAGCTGTTTACTGGAAACGTGCCCATCACTTGCCCTCCGGCCACAGAGCACAGAGATTTCCTCCTGGGGTCAGCAGGTGTCTGACCTTTTGGGCCATCGCTGGATCTTGGGCCCTCTGGGCAGACAGGAAAGGTGTCCCGGGAACTGGCGCGGTTGGCGTAAAGACTGTAGCTCAAAACCACACCCAGCCAGGCGATGGGAGCAAATTAACTCTTCCTGTGCTGGAAGTTCTTCTCCTTCCAATCCGATAGCCCCCGGGGGCTGTAGGAGGGATGCACGAGGCAGGGCGGTGTTGGACCAGTGCTGCCGGGCCTCTGGTGCCTTGCACGATCCCCCATGGTCTCCCCCTCTGAGCTAACCACGTTGCCAATGCAGCCACAAATGGCAGAGAGGGCCAGTGGAGGGAGGAGTGTGCCCCAGCCTCTCCAGGTTCCTGCCTTCGAGGGACCCGCAGAGGCTCATCACTGCGAGAAGAACAAAGATTTGGAGGGGAGAGGTCCCAGGCTTTACCGGTTGCAGGATCCAAAGAGCTGGACAAACCACTACAGCTAACCATCTACGTATCCCGTCCACAAAAGCCCCCCCACCACAGGCCACAGCGCTTGCCCCTGGGGACATAAAATCCCCCAAAACTGTAGGACTCCTGCCCGTCACCCCTTCACGGACGCATCCTCCCCGGCCCCCATCTCCGCGCACACTTGTCTGCATCCTTGGCGTGACTCCATCCATAGGAGATGCATGGGGGGGGGTTACATGCCCCCCCCTAGATTGTCACATCTCCTTCCCACCCCATTTTAATTGCTGAAGCCGGATGCCCTCGCTCTGCCCTTCCCCGCAGGCACTGGTCGCCTCGGGCTCCGTCAGACTCACACCGGGGCTGAGGGCGAGCTTTGGTTTCTCAAGGACTCGTTGCGGAGTTCAGCCCCCCTAGATTCTAGATCCAGGTCTCCCCTTTCTCAGGACTCAAAGGGAAATCCATGCTCCAGTCCTTCCCCCCACCAGCTGACAGGTCCGCCGCTCCATCCTGCCCTCCTCCCTGGATTGCCTCCTGCCATGCGCCTCCCCCCCCAGATCTCCCTGCAGAGGACAGCCCAGCCCCCCACGTGACTCCCCACATGTCCCGAGCTGCACGCAGACACAGGAGTGCAAGGGTTTGGTTTGCAGCAGGGGGTGATGGCCAGGCCCAGCAAAGAGGCGGCAGGGCCCAGAGGCCACGCTGCCCCAGAAAACGCTGCCAAGGCCGAGGAACAAGACCACGAGCCGGGGCGTGATGCAGTGAAAAGAGAGCCCTGGGTTGTAGGGAGGGAGTCGCTGGGGAGGGAGGCGCCTTATGGCAGGGGGCCCAGCCTGGGCAGAGATGTCCCCAGTGGCAGTGACGGGAAATGCAACAGCAAATCTACCAGCTGTGATCCGGAGGCCTGGGGCGGCCCTGGCCCCTGCCCTCTCTCTGGAGCAGAGACCAGAATTTGCCCCTCTGGCACAGGCAGCCCAACCCAGACACCAGCCCGGCCTGGCTTCCCGGCTGGCGTATCAGATGGGCCCGTCCTGGTCAACTAGCCAGCGTGGCACCACGTTGGGGCACCAAGCACTCTCCACGCCCATCGATGGGCCCCACCCAGAGGGTGCCTCCGTGCCTGCTGATTCAATCCTGGTGCAGTTAGCGCCTCACAAGCAAGGGTCGGAAACAGGAGGGGGCACATTCAGGGGGTCCCTGTGCCCCAAGCCAGCTAGACAAGGGGGACCCCCCTCTGCTTTCAGAAGACTAGAAGGCGGGTGTCCCGGCCTGGCCCCTTGCTTTCACTCCGGATTCGGAGCTCCTTCAGCATGTCCCCTTGCCACCCCGGCCCTTCAGGACAGGCCCAACTTGAATCTGCCTTGCAAGCATCCAGCGTGCCCCAGGCCCCCGGCACCACAAACCCTCCTGATCTTCGTCCGACCAGAGAGGCGGCGCTTCCGGGGGACCCC